ATATATGTATGTTATAAGACGAAATTTTAAAGTCGTAGAAAAAGTGGAAATGACATTTAATATTATAGCATTACATAATTTCATATTGCAGCTTATCTGTAACAGCATAAAATAAATTACGCAATCTTTTTTTTCTTAGATGTTTTTGATACCTACATATATATTTATAGAAGGTATGCTCAAAGGACTTTCTGACTTTTGAAAGGCACTTGAGCTAGCCCAATTTGTCTCAAAAAAGTGTTTATAAGTGGTGTACGCGCTTTACAGATGGCCGAGAAGGATATTGATGATGATAAGCGTCAATGGTGCAACCACGGCAACAAGCGAAGAAAACATTGAAACAGTGAAAAAATTGTTCTTGAAAATCGTCGAATCCCTATTAGAGGAGTTGTAGAAGATGTTGGCATATCAATTGGCTCATGACATTCGATTTTCTCGTATGTTTTGGGCATTTAACGTCAGGCAGCGAAATTTGTTCCGAAATTGCTAAATTTTAGAAAAATGCCAAATTTTTGTAAACTTTAGTGCAGATCCACGATTATTGCAATGCTAGCAATATTATATTAAATTTATTGTATAACAAATACGCTATAAAAAGAATATTTTCACCAACTGTACCGATCACATTAACATATATGAAACGAAAACCTGCGCGATCGACTAAACAGTAAGATCGACTGCAAGTCTGCTTACAAAGTTGATAATAAGATGTTTTTATATATTTATTTAGCTTGTGTTATTTTTTATTATTTAAGAGGCAGAAAGTGTATCTTTCTTCTAAAACTGTGGAACTAATGACCTATAGAACTGATATTTTCAAAATCCAAGCGTTCTCTTGATCTAGATGTACTTGTTTTGCAATTTATCAACTCAACAAGTTTGTTTTTCAATGCTAATCGAATTTGGAATTCTATGCCTGCTACCGTTAAAGTATCGTCAAACGTGGTAATTTTCACAAAATATATACATATACCCTTCACGCATTTCGTTTCGAAAAAATTCAATTTCGACATGTTACCATTCTGAAACTATTTAATTTTGTGTAATTGCAGGAATAAAAAATTCAGTGTGTGACTGTAAATTAATTTGCAATTTGATTTCAAATATTAAATTTTCAGTTGCTGGTGATGCACTTTTTTCAGCAGTCTTCTTTTTTTCATTCTGACACCATCACAAATTTAATTTCGGATAATTGATGTTGAATTGAAATTCAATTTTCTTTGGAAATTAAACTTCGAAAATTCTCATTTTGACACGAAATTGGAAATTAGAATATTAGTACGTCTGACGGCGCCTTTAGAAGTGAAATATAATTATTTTTCAAAAAATTGAAGAACCATGTCCATACATATGTATATTTTGTATGCATCTACATATGTTATCTCTGTTTAATTTAATGTATTATAAACGTTTACAAATATTCTCAGAATACTAATTTTATTTATAGATAAGTATTATCTTTCGTATTGTTGTACTTTAAAATATTGAAAGGTATTGTGCTGATAAATTTGACCCAAAATAAATAAATGAAATTTAATGTATATATATGTATATATTTTTAATAAATTTGAGAGTGAAAAAAATGTTAAAATTCTTCTAGTTGATTATCGGCTGTCTTACTATATTTCCAACATTGATTGGTGCATAAATAAGATTATAATTAATTACAAATTGCTACTGAAAATCATCGAAATCGAATAATATAATATATAGCGCCCAAACACGGACTCGATGCTTCTCTCAGAACTCCGTAAAAAGCATCTAAGATCATAAAATTTAGTTTTATATATTCATATCCAGAAATAAAAATTGTCACCGAAAACTATTGAAATCGAAAAACTCTCTAGCCCGCTGTGAGGCTCCTGTCTTCACCTTCTTAAATGTTCGAACCATTTCGTGTGTCTCAAAAAAGCAACGAGATTTCCAATTTTCGCTGAGGGTAGCTCAGGGAGATAGTAATTTTCCCGGAGGCACTTGTGTCGCGCAGATGCCAGGGCTGAATAATAGACTCCTACTCTCCTTCGTCCCTACAGCTGCAGAAAAAATCATTTGGGTAGTATCTCAGTCTTTTCCCGCGAAGCCCCATTAAACAGTGGCCTGTTAATATGCCTGTCGTTATGTTAATGGAGAACTGGTCTAGAAGGCCATTTTTGGCATAAAATTTTCGCCATATTATTTAGCCATCAGCTTCTTTGGCAACAGCCAGTATTAGCATATGTGTAATTTGCCGTGGACAAATTTATACCTTCATCTTGTTCGTGTTTTATTGTGGTTAGAAGTTTTTATTCTCAAGCCACTCGGTTCGCCATGTAATTCACTGGAATGTCACTCAGACCACGTGCATTTAGTTGAGAGTTTGTTCAGATTGCTTCTACATTTTATAGCCACTTTTTCTGTGTAGACTGTTACATTGCAGAGGATGTTTAACTTGACTCTCGGAATATATCGTAACAGATTGTCATGCTGTCGCAGCTTCTATGAGTGCAGTGATCTGCTAGTCTCTTGCTCATATTTATTTAGAGCATCGGAGAATGGAATTCTAGCTCGATGCCATTGGTAACTTCCCATTCATTTCTGTTTGGAATTAATTTATACGAAGATGAAAGGTAAAAAGATTTCGGCCCAAGGTAGCTTCTTTTTCTTGTTAAAATTACATGTAAAAACATTACAATCAAAAGTAAGTGTAAAAATGTTGAAGAAAATAAGAGAACCAAATGACAATTGAGGAAAGGAAAAGCTGCTAATTACAATTTCTCCTTCTATGATGTCCTAATGTTAAACCCGTCTATGTATATATTAAAATCAGAAAGTTTGCAGATATCGTTGTTTCGACATTCACGGTTTGGTTCATCATGAATTCGTTGCAACGGCACAGTCGGTCAATAAAGAATATTATTTGAGTATTTTGGGACGCTTGCGCAAAAGCATCCGTCCTAAACGGCTGGAATTGTGAGCCAGCAATTCATGGATTTTTCCTGACGATAATGCGCCATCGCACCGAGCCGTAATTGCGAACGATTCTAAGGCCAAAAACTGGTTCAATACTATCGATCAACCACCATATTCGTCAGATTTGGCCCCATGCGACTTTTTTTTTTGTTTCCAAAACTCAAGTTACCACTCCGTGGAACCCGTTTCGATTCGATTGGGGCCGTAAAAGAAAATTCACGAACTGCGATGTTTCGATGATTGGAAAAAAAGTTGGCATGTGTGTATCGCTTCAGAAGGAGCATATTTTGTAGGCGAAAAAATACTACTGTGAGCAAAAAGTAAGGAGATTTTGTTTTTAAAATTAAAAATCCTAATTTATTCTTCTACATAGATTTCGCCGCCTTCAAGATAGTCCCCTGCCCTGTCTACGCTTTTTCCAATTATCGAAGAATGTCAAATAATCAAGTTCTGGTATGGCCTTCAGAGAACGCGCCGATTCACGTTTAATCTCCTCAGTCGACTCAAACCGGTATCCTCGAAGTGGTCTTTTGAGCTTTTGGAAGAGCAAAAGCTACAAAGGCACTTTTAGTCGTTTAGTAAACACAAGCGTAACTAAAATACCAATGATGGCATTGACATGAAATTTGGAAACTTTCTGGTTTTCATAACGTATGTATGTACAGCCTTGGCCAAAAATATTAGGCATCCCACATTCGTCCGTACTTACAGCGTACCACTCGTTAATTAAGGCATTCTTTAAGGCAGCTTTTAATGTTACACTGTGTTCCTTAATCTTGGGTTTTAAAATATCCCACATGTGCTCAATGGAATTAAGATATGGATACTGTGCAGGCCAATCTAACAAAACAAAGTTGTTATGTCTAAACCAACGCATCGTACCGTAGTCGCTGGCAGAAGAAAAGTTTCTAATAAATTTATGTACTTTTGACTGTCCATGCGACCCTCGACAACGAACATTTCGCCGATAACATCAGCAGCTATGCAGCCCCAGATCATGATGCACGCAATCTGAATGATATTCTTCACCAACCCGTCGCCTCACGAACGTCACACTAGGTATTCCAAATATTTGTAGAAAAGAAAAAATAATGTTTTCATAAGATTTATATTATGTCTTCAAAATTGCTCTAGGGTAAGATGCTATGGTTAATATTTTAAGACTATCTTAAAAAAGCTTACCGCAAAGTTTGATTCATCAGACAACAGAACATTCGACCAATCTTTTTCCGTGAAATGTTGGTATAGGCGAGCCCATTCCAAACGATTTTTCCTATTCTTTTCTAAGAGTCACGGCTTCTTTCGGGGTTTACATACTTTTAAACCTGCTTCCTGAAGTCTTCTCCTATCTGTTCGAGCACTAACTGGTTTACTAAACTCATCCGAGAGGGCAGAAGAAGATTTTTTGGAACTCGCGCATAAGCGTTCGGTCTTCTCGTTTACTGGTTAGACGTTTTCTTCCACTTTCTTATTTGTTATTGTAGGATTTCGTCTCCATAAATCGTCTGATAGTACATTGGACCGCGCATCGCGAACATCCCATCAAATTGGCAATTTCAACCGGAGACTTACCTTTTTTTTACGCATTTCGGTAAATAAAAATTGTGTTTATAAGATTGGTAACTTCTCACTAAATGTATAATTTACACTTTCACTTTCAAATATTAAATATGCAAATATTTTATGAATTTCTTAAAAATGACAATTTTTAGGTTTAGCTCACCCAAAGTGCTATGACTTTTAACCAACAATTAAACAACCGTCTAAGACATTTACAAAAAGAAGTGGAAACTTTGATAGCCACATTTGAGAAACTTGTATTTTAGTGGAGGCCTAATACTTTTGGCCGAGGCTGTTTATCCTCACAAAATGCAATTATAGTTAAAAAATTTTTTTTCAAAAACTAAATCTTTTACAAAATCAACAAAAAAAAAAATAAAAAATCTGTTTTGAGGAATAAAAACAACAATTGTTCTTAATCATAAGTTCTTCGAATTATTTCTCAATATCAATGTCTGCTAATAATTTACTCCTTTTTTTCTTTCTACCAGGGTTCTCGTGTTAGTACAATTAATGATTGGCTGCAAATAAAAATCGGCGGCGATGAGGAGGTGAAAAAGAAAAAGGGCAACCAGCAATTGAATCGCATTAAATCCACAAAATATACAATTATAACATTCCTGCCACAAAATATGCTTGAACAATTTCGCCGAATAGCAAATTTCTATTTTCTTGTTATGACAATTATATCATTAGTAATCGGTAAGTCGCCTTAATTTTATTTGTATGCTATGTAATATATACATATGTACTCATTTATGTGAAAATATAAATTAAGCGAACGCATAAGGTGCATGATTGAGTATCAAAAGGCAAGTGGGTGCATAAATATGTGGCTTCATGTGTATCTGTGAACTCTCTGGAGTGTGCTAAGAGCAAGATAGCAAATAATTAACAAGTGACTTTTCGTTGCAAGATATGTGTGCTTAATAGCAATTGTTCGAAATAAATTAAATTTGACTTTAGTACATATATGCGGGGTATTGATTATAAACAAAATATACTACATACATATACAGTGGGTTGCCAATTTATTAGGGACAGTAAGGAAATTTTTGAGTTTAATTGTTCAATTGGATTTCTGCTACAAATAATTAGTTACAGATCTCTTAAGTATTTTTTATTTATATATACATTCTCTTGAGATAACAAAAACTGCAAAAAGTTATACAAAACGATTTTATATTCTTCGTATGACAAATATTAATATTGGTAAAAAGTGAATAGAATTAAATGTAATATTTATTTATGCCTCCCTTTGTTCCAATAAGAGCTTCCATGCATCGGGGTATGCTTCCAGTATAGTTTTTTTACATCTTCTTGGAGTTTGGAATTGTGATGCCATTCTCTGATAGTTGTTTCAATCAACTGCTGCTTGGTGGTAATCACTTCTTTTGGAATCTCCCAATTGGTGAGCTCCCACATGTTTTCCATGAGATTCATGTCTGTCGAATTCCCTGACCAAGGTAAATAGTGATATTTTTTTTGGCCGAATATGCGGTAACATCTCTCTTTGTGGCACGGTTCCGTGCCATGGATAAAAGTATATTTTTCATTATTAGGGAACCACTCCTTTGTCTGCGGCAGTAACCGCGTTTCTAGTACTCGTTTTTATTGGTCTTGTCTCATTGTACCTTCTACGATGTATAGGCGCCCCTTTGACTGAGATAAATGACCACACCATGACACTAAGCGGCTGTTTAACCCTCTCTACACGGCAATCTGCGTGGAATTACTTACCAGGGCGTCACAAAATAACTTTTATAAAATAATAGAATAAGTAGTAGAAAACCGTAACTAACAAATTGTATTGTTCGAATATATTGTACTGATTTTATTCTCGTCTGCAACACTCATATTTCGATGCTGTCTAGCCCATTCTAGTCGTTTCTTCTGCATACTGGTCGATGGGCGTGGTTTTTTGGTAGGCCCAACAGCTTCTCTTCGACCAACCGTCTCCGCATTAACCCTTCCGAAATCTTTACGCCCTCATTGTTTATCATGGTAGTCAACAGGGAAACGCTGTTCTTTATATTTCTTTTTTTCGATCACTACGAGGTGTTGTGATCATTTTCCTGCCAAATTTTCCCACCCGATTCGCCTCAAGAGGTACTTTATGGGTCAATTTAATTTTTATTTTTTTTATTTTTTTATTTTTATTCGATTGACAACAGACTTTGAAACCCCAGCAGTTTTTGCTATGTCCCTCTGGGAAAGTTTGGAGTGCGTTTGTACTTCTCTACATTTTTATAGAGACGTATTCTGAGCCCTATTCATTCTAAAAAGTGTAAAACAACATCATTAACTCAAAAAAAAACATAGTAAACCTTAAATTACAAATATACGAGCATTGTCCCTAATAATTTGCTACCCACTGTATAAAAAAAATTTGTTTTGAATCAACTAGCGGATCAACACTCAGCCCAAACCACTTGTCGAAGAGATCAGAAACTTAGAGAGTGTGCTCTGCATATGACTTATACACCCTATAAGAAAGTTTTTCCGGGAAGTTGACCAGGAACTAATCAACATGTAATTTGATACACAGAATTGATATGGAAGTGTAATTCGGAAAGCTCGGGTTCAAATCCTGGTGTCGTACTACCATCCAAAAAGTTATAGGAAATTTATTTAACTAAAAAAATAAAGCTTATTTTTCTAATTGCGGTCGTCCCTCGGCAGGAAATGTCAACTCTTCCGAGTGTATTTCTGACATGGAATGAAGCTCCTCATAAAAAACCATCAGCCGTTCGGTGACGGCTTAGCATAAACTGTAGGCTCTTTCATTTGTTGGAAAAATATCAAAGCCACAAATTGGAGGAGGAGATTGTCCGAAAATCGCTTCATCAGTTACAAAGCACCAATTATATATATATATATATATATACAATATATTTTCTGTGATAATGACGACACTACTTTGTGATTTTCCCAAAGACTTATTAACTATATTCTAGAACAAGTGTACAACTTCGTTGATATTGGGGTTATGATGGACTCTAAGCTCAACTTCCATCTTAGTATCAATACCACAGTCTTTAAATGCATTTACCTTCGTTAAATGATGGACAAAAATATTTAAAGGTCCTTATGTGACTAAAGCACTTAATACGACGTTGGCGATGCCAATATTAGAATATGGTTCACTGATATGGAATCTCAACTATCAAGTTCATTCCGACAATTTGTAGTCTGTTCAAAAATAACTTTTAATTTTTACCTTAAGTCATTTTCTATCGAACTCTACGATAAATCTTCCACCCTATGCAAACCGTTAAAATCGTCCAAGTCTACCTACACTCGGAAGTCGTAGAGGAGTGTTAGGCGGAAACCCCTTAACGGATCAATTCGTACGTACAGTAGTTCATGGCTCTTATCTGAGGTAAACTTTACACTTCCAACTTGTTTAGGTCTTTATTATTAATGTCATGTTAAACAAATTATGTACTAAATGAGCCTTTTCACCAATTGTGTCACGGTTTTCAATAAGCTATACTTGCTTCTCTCAACAATATAATTTTTAAATTCTTTAATTACTAAATTTCAGCAGTTGAATATATTTCTTTTCTTTAACTGAACAGTTTTAAATCTTGTCAATCATGACTTGGTAAATCCGTTCCTTATGCGAATGTCGCCCTTCGTGTCGATTGGGCGAGTTGATCGTATTCGCTGGGCTTATTTTTTATCGTTTGATTTACTTAAAATTTGATACAGTAATGGCTTTGGGTCCAATTTAAAGTTGGGAACACATTTCTGCCGGGAAGTTATAATTTAAGTATTCTTCGTTAAATATAGTATAACCTGCAAGTGATAAAGAAATATTAATATTTCAAATATGAAACACTAAAACATAATTATTTTATGATCACCAATAATAATTTTTAGGTGCAATCAAACCACATACTTCCAAACAAATTCTTTCATCTCACAGGATATAAAAATAAATTTACTTTTACAATTTTACTTTTACTTTTACAATAAATTTTGTTACAACAAGATTTTTTTTATTATTTTCACTTGCTCCACTAGAGCAATTTGCTGAATGTCCGATGAATGAATTTGTGAGAATAGCATTGCTATTAAATAATAGAGAGTAAATTCAATGCCAACTCTCCCTGAGTGCACATTGTCTGATGGACCTTGACCATCACCTTCATATGCTACTTCACACGCAGTTCAATGCATCCGTCAGTGGCTCTAATTAATATGACACAATTAAGTGTATGGCATTGTAAGTATTGGAAAATTATTTTTTGTTATTCTTTTCTTAATTTTCCGTTTTCTGTTATTTGATTGCTCTTTTAGAATATAGAACATAGATCACAATATATACATACATACATTTTTTGTAACGAATGAATACTCCAGTCACAAAAATTTAACTTTGCTTTGAAAGAATTTTTCCAGAAGAAAGTGGTTTTTTGATTCTTTGAATTTGCAAATCTTGGAAGCTCATTATATTTAATGCTTGTGCGAGTACATATAAACATTATCAGTCTTATGGGTACTGTTGACATTTGCTAGTATTGTATTGTACTTCTAAACAGGGTTGCCAGAATTTTTTTCTGAAGTAGACGAAGTGTTCATCTGTGGTTATATTCATTTTAAACGTACTGTCATTTCGCGTCGTTTTCAGTAGATATCATTTATTTTAGCGTTAACAACAATTTGTTTCATTCATTTGAAAATGTCGAAATTTGTACCAGACAAAGTGTTTTTGCTGGGAGTTCTTCTTCAATTTAGCCGAACGAACGTGCCAAAAGTGGTTTGCACGGTTTAAAAGTGGCAATTTCGACTTAGACGACGGACAGGCAAAAAAATTTCAAGGCGAAGAATTGGAGGCATTGCTCGACGCAGATGCATGCCAGACGCAAGAAGAACTTGCAAAAGTATTAGGAGTTTTCACAATAAAGTCTTAGTTTTCACAATAAAGTCTAAGTTTTCGAAACAAAAACCGCACAAATTAATGCATACACCCAATAATTTAATAATTCATTCAGTGTTTTTATCATATTTGAAAAGGTTTACCAAAAATAATCAATAATTTGGAGACAAACGAAAACGTTTCTTGCTTTTACAATAAATTTTCATAAAAATAATCAAGCAATTTCATATAATATTTTTCAAACAAAATATAGCTGATGGGTACCTGTGGCCAACGAATAAAATCTTATCGTCACCTTGCTCGAAATATAGACAACACTGCTACCAAGTATTCTCTCAATGGAGACCTCTTTAGATGGGCTTTTCTACCTTGGTGAGATATTTCTTCCCACACCTGGTTCCAAGTACAAATTTCGAAAGAAATTTAGGGAATGGAATAGACAATAAGATATTCATCCGAGTAGCCCCAAAATAAGTAGTAAATCATCAATGATTAGGTTTCGCTACCCAACCATTTCGATTCTCTAATGAACCCCATTAGATTCATTATTTGACGTCAGGTATTTTCGTTGAGCCATCCTGCAGTATGGTCCGGAAACTCTGAAATCAATCATACAAGATGAGTGGTCGCTTCCTTCTCCTTATCATCCTTGTTGCTTCTGCAACAACCCTTACAGGGAGCTCTTAGCCTGTTTCCATGTAAATCTATCACGCCTTGTCAGAACACTTATTACTTTGGGCATGCCCCCCTTTTTAAGGAGTACATTTCTCGTGATTCGCAATAGGCGGTAGTTTCATTAATCCTTCTGTTCTCTGTT